TTCCATTATGGTGTTTACGCCGTCATCGGTTAGATATTGGGCCGCTAGGCTCACCTTCTTTACTTTATGAATAAAACTGTCATTCTTTCTTTGCCCTAAAAAAAGAAAAAATAATAAAAAAAAAGAAAGAAAAAAAAGAAAACCAATTTCCAAATTAATTTAATGGAATATAAATATTAAACAACTTTGAATAATTTGAAATCTCAACAGTCTCAAGTTTGGTTGTTTCATTTTGTAATTATCCAAATGGCATGTCTTCACCTACTTCATATTCTAAAATATCAACTACTTCACATTTTTGGTAACCATTATTTAACCAAACCTTGAAGGTTGAAGTTTTCCATTGCATTTGTAAAATCGAGATTTGGATGGACTCAATTCATGGTCATGATCAAGTACAGTAGAGTTAATGCGCCATTTCCCATTAAAAAGAGATGCTCTAAGCTTAGCTGTGCAATCTGTTTAAGATATCGGATGGAATTTAACTGGGTTGCTTGATTTGTTCTGTGACTTAACAAGCAAATGTTACGGACCTCAACTCCCCATCATTTCCCCTCCTAGAGGTTCTTTTACTAATAGGAAAACCCTTTTCTTTAGCATAACTTCTATAAAATTCTCATATCTCATCAATAGACTCAAACAACACTCCTTTGTTGGGGTGTTGGTCTTCTTCATTTGTTGTTTAGTCTGCTCTATTCTCATTACTTTCTTCATTCAATTTAATAATTGAAGAGTCATTTGGTGATAATTCTACCATGACTCTGCAACATGTAAATTACAAAATATATATATAAACAAACAAATAAAAAAAAGATCTTAACAATAACAAAAGAATGGATGAGAAGTAAAATAAAATTGCTTAAAAAATTGCAAAGGAAAATGCTAGAGATCCCAAAAGATTTACTAAAATTTCCACCAAATAGCTCACATGGTGTAGGATCCACATCATGTGCGTCTCAAACCCATGTAAGACATTTGGTAAAAATTTTGATAATTTTTTTGAGATCTTTAGCATTACTAAATTACAAAATATACTTTTATCTTTAATTTTAACACTTAGGTTAGGTGGTATTAATTCACTTGTTTGATGCAGTAGAATCAATGCAGATTGGAATGGAATGATTGTTCTTTAACTCCTTGGCAGAATATTTATTTAGCATTATATACTAAAATTATTTTAGTAATTTTTATTTTGTTTTGATTTGATTCATTTAAGATGTTATAATGAAGTGCAATGAATTACAATAAGGATGAAAATTAAACACAACATATATAATCGATACAAACAATTAAACTCTTAAACTGGAGAGAAAACTCCAATTAACTGAATTTCGCTATTTATATAAGTAAATTTTAATATAGCATTTTGATAGTTATATATATATGGAAGCATACTTTTTATTTTTTTTATGAATATCTGAAAAAGCCCTATGTCAGGGTTTTTTCTAGGGTTCTTGAAAACTCATTCCAATTAATCAAATATGATTTAAGAAACTAAACAACACCATAATGAATACTTGCACAGCAAAAGACACTGATATAAAAAGATTAGAATATCAGAACGTAAGCAGACTTCTTTCAAGAATTAAGATGTGTCTCGAGGCAGTAAAAATAATTTTATGGCCTTCTCTAATACTGAAAGATGAAAACTCTTTCACCACACAGAGGGAGAACAACAAGAATGGAAAGCCAAATAATGGCGGTCATGTGAAATTGAAAATAAATAGGAAGAGAAAGTGGTAAACCTAGGCGGCCAGCCTAGCATGACTGATATTTATATTGATTGTTTAAAAAAAAAAAGAAAAAAAGATGAAGTGTACGAAACAAAATGGAGTGATTATAAACTACTTAACAAAGTGGAAACATGGCCTGGTGGTGGTTAGAAAAAGTCAACTTTCTGTTCATAGCAGGTTTGGTGGTTCAACTGGATCCGAACCTAAATGATGTGTCAATCAGTTGTACTAGATGGTCCGGTCCGACTTTTAAAACACTGAAATCAGAATTCCTTCTACTTACTTCATGCTTCCACCGAGAAATCCAACTCAGCATCCTCAGGCAGCTCTGTTAAGCTCATTGATTGAGTCATCTCTGAAGCTTTCAATCATAGACAAAATAAAAATTACAAAATGAAACAAAAACTGAGCTCCTCTTCAGTTGATACTTCTGGAGACTAGTCAAGGCAACTAGTCTAAAGAATTACTTTACAAGGGATTGGGAACTCCTCTTTCATAGCATACAACAACATGATGTAGTTGTTGGTAGTGTTTGGATTGCCAAGGACGCAACCGCAAGCAATACAAAGATTCAATTGCTCCATCATAAATTGAGCAACCTCAAGAGCTTAGTGGTGTCAGTGGGCTTGTTTGGTTTGTTATTCAGAAAAAATTTTGGGAAAAATTATCTACAAACAAATTTTCAAGAGTAATCAAACCAAACAAATTTTTTCAAAAAAAATCTCAAAATTTGGTTTGGTTTTCTACTTTCCAAAATCACTCTCTCTCTCATAAACACCAAATCAATCACTTTTTTTAAAACTCTCTCCCAAAAACAATTTTCCAAAACCATTTCTGAAAAAAGGCAAACCAAACAAGTTTTCGTACTTTTTATCTCAAAAACTACTCTATAAACACAAACCAAACTGAAAATTCTAGAAATTCCCTAGATGTTGATTTGTGATTATGTATCAATTTTAAGCAGTAAACAACAATCTCAATCAAACAATCAAGACAAATCGACACAACGATTTTACGTAGAAAAACCACAATTGGAGACACCTCCAATTGTGATAAAAAAAACCACGGGCAACAGCCACAAAACAATCCACTAAGAAGATATAAAGGAATTACACAGGTATACTCTCAATTATCTAGCGAATCCACGCCCGAATTGAACCAACCTCTATGTGCCTTTTCCAACCTCGTCTTCACCTCAGAATTGTCTTGACGATGAGCTACTCCGGAATCAACCAAAGCTTCAGGCTCGAATTCTTCAGAATCCACCGAGAACAACTCTCTATTTTGTGTAGAACAAACAAATAATCCTTTGATGTATACTCTTTAAACAATGAGTTGAATACTCAATCAAAACATCAAAGAAAACTAGCAAAATATCCCCAGATATAAACCCTAGAATCCAAAAAGAAGATCTGGAGAATTAATCCTAAAATCTGACAGAAACCCATACTTATAGAAATCTGGGACTGCGAAGCTCGCTCTAGCGAAGACTCTCTCGCTCGAGCGAGGAACCAAAAACGCGTGTTTTTCATAAGTGGCTTCGCTCGAGCCACGCACCCTTCGCTCGAGCGTACATTCATCTCTTTCAGGTTTTTACACAGACGCAACCTTCGCTCGAGCGAGAACTCCTTCGCTCGAGCAAGCAAGAACCTAGAAAAAGTCAACTTTCTGTTCATAGCAGGTTTGGTGGTTCAACTGGATCCAAACCTAAATGATGTGTCAATCAGTTGTACTGGATGGTCCGGTCCGACTTTTAAAACACTGAAATCAGAATTCCCTCTACTTACTTCATGCTTCCACCGAGAAATCCAACTCAGCATCCTCAGGCAGCTCTGTTAAGCTCATTGATTGAGTCATCTCTGAAACTTTCAATCATAGACAAAATAACAAACAAAGAAAATTACAAAATGAAACAAAAACTGAGCTCCTCTTTCAGTTGATACTTCTGGAGACTAGTCAAGGCAACTAGTCTAAAGAACTACTTTACAAGGGATTGGGAACTCCTCTTTCATAGCATACAACAACATGATGTAGTTGTTGGTAGTGTTTGGATTGCCAGGGACGCAACCGCAAGCAATACAAAGATTCAACTGCTCCATCATAAATTGAGCAACCTCAAGAGCTTAGTGGTGTCAGTTGGACCAGATACTCCTAGCTAAATAAAATGGAGTGATTATAAAATATTTAACAAAGTGGAAACATGGTCTGCTCGTTAAAAAAAGTTGATTTTTCGTTCATAACAGGCTTGGTGGTTCATCTAAATCAGAACCTAAACCAGACGATGTGTCAACCGGTTGTACTGACTGGTCCGGTCCAGCATTTAAAACACTGGTATTAACAATCCTGCTACTTACTTCATGTTTCCACCTACACCTCCAAATGAGCATCCTCAAGCAGCTCTATTAAGTTCATTGATTGAGTCATCTCTGAAACTTTCAATCATAGACAAAATCACAAACAAAGACAACTACAAAATGAAACAGCCAAACTTGCTATTGACAAAACTGAGCTTCTCTTCAGTTGATATTTTTGGGGACCAAGTGAGAGAAACTAGTTTAAAGAATTGCTTTCCAAGAAATTGGGAACTCCTTCATAGCATAAACAATATGATGTAGTCAGCAGAATTTGGGTTGCCCCAGGACGAAACTGCAAAACAATACAAAGATTCAACTGCTAAGTGCCATAGAACAAGATATAATGTTTAAACTAGAAATTCCAAGTACAAGTAAGGTGTTCTATATCTCCATCTTCTATGGCCAATATTGATGATTATAAAAGGAGAAGCTCAAGGATAGACAGATCTATTAATAACTCTTCAACCATGTGTTCGGATCCATGAATTCAATACAAACTTGAGAGATATTAGAGCTGAAGAAAAAAAAGACGAGGCAAAATCACATTCGGCATCATGTCTTTTATATCAAAGCATGAGTTATTATTAAATATTGTGACCATTATATGCCTTACTTTTTAAAGTTAACAATCACAAACATTAACAACTTTTTGTTGTCTAATAATCCCTACAAGAACCCGAGAGAACTCTTTTAACTAGAAATACACCAAGGAAAAAAAAAAACGTAACTAAAAAAAAAAGTAACTTTCAAAAAATGACATATGTGAAAGAAAAAAAGAAGCATGAAAATTTCAGAGCAACAAAAACAGACCTTCATGTAAAATGCAATATCTAAGCAAGTATGTATGAGTTAAATCAACTTACAAGTAACAACAATTATCAATAAAGCATATATATATATATATATATATCTATATCAATGCAACACCTTGACTCATTATGATGCTTGAGTAAACAAAGTAGCTCTAGAAAACCTAGGTGGTTACTTGGAAAATGAAGTAGTTCCAAAAAACGCATGAAGCATTTCCTTTGACAAATTATCTAATCCATCATCAGACAACATGTTAACTAGGAAGGTTACAGTGCCTGGGTCCACAGAGATAGCTCTATCATCCATTACATGAAGCAGTTGCAATGCTTTTTGTATTCCATTATTTTGTAGAAGTCCTTGAACCAATATATTATACGAGTAAAAATTTGGTGAGCATCCTTCTTCTTCCATTTTCATTAACAGCTCACTTGCTTCATCAAGTAGCCTTCCCTTGCAAAGTCCATTGATCATTATGTTGTATGTGCGGACATTAGGTTTCAAACCTTTAGCAGAAAGACTCAAGTAGAGTTTTCTTGCATCATCGAGCTTCCCAGCTTTGCACACACCCTGAATTAGGTTACTGTATATCACAATATTAGGAGCTAGTCCAGTGTTTTCAAGCTTTTTAAACAAAGCTAATGCCTCGTCAAGACGTTGGTTGTTGCATAGGCCATTCAGCAAAGTAGAATAAGTAAACGGATCATGAATTTGGCCATGAGTTTGCATCTCATCAAGAAGCAAAAGTGCATCTCGAGGTCTTCTTATTTGGCACAAGCCACCAATAAGAGTGGTATACGTAACAGTATCCGGAAGCAATCTTTTTCTAGACATTTCCTTAAAGAGACTCGTGGCTTCATCTATGTTTTTGATCTTACTGTACCCATTAATCAAGATAGTATAAGTGATAACATCAGGAGCACAACCCCTACTAACCATAACATCAAACATTTTCCTTGCTTCATCTACTTGGCCACACAGACAGTACCCATCCATTACAGCATTATAAGTGACAACATTAGGCACCACATCTCTTTGGATCATTAATTCAACCACATCTTGTGCTTCTTTGGCCTTTCTTTCTTTACAAAGTGCATCAACCAAAATGCTAAAAGTTTGAACATTTGGAGAGATATTCTTAGCAACCATTTCATTCAACAATGTCATAGTATCTTTCCACTCACCTAAACTACATATGCCTTGAATTAGTGATGTGTAAGTGACGACATCTGGTGAAATTCCTTTACCTATCATTTCCGAAAAGAGCTTGAAAGCCTCGGTTACTAGTCTGTCCTTGCAAAGGCTATCGATGACCGCGTTGTAATCCACTAGTCTAGGCTCACAACCTCCTATTTTCTCCATCTTTCTGAGCAAAACAATAGCACTACTAGTGTTTCCTGTTTTACATAAGCCATTTATTATAGTGATGTAAGTAATGAAATTGGGTTGGAACCCTTTTTCCACGATTTCATCAAGAAACTTAACCGCCAAAGCGATCTTAGCATTTACACAAAGCCCATTGATCAGGGTATTGAAGGTTATGATGTTTGGTTCATAACCAAGTTTCAATAGATTCCCTAAAATAGAAAAACCCAAATCAACTCGATTCAACTTACAGAAACAATTAATCACGATTTTAAGTGTAAACTTATCAGGCTTGACGAACCCATCTTCTAAGAGATTCATTCTCCAAAACAGAGAAATCACGGTGGAGTAATGCTTAGTTCTTGCAATTGAAGTTAAAAGTTGATTAAATTGAACAATTGAGGGCAAAGGTCGCATTCGAAGCATGCGATCAAAATGAGTTAGGGCATCATCATCATCGTCAAAATTAGCAAACCCATGCTGAAATTGGTCTTCCACAGAAGCATTGATATGAATATGAGAAGAGCGATTAAGTAAGATTGCAAGAAAACAAGGAAATTGGGAGAAAATACCCTTGTGAAGACAATCACAAACACCATTTCTGAAAACCACAGCAGCATCGGCACTTCTCGCCATCATCGTCATCTCTCTCTCTCTAACAAATTTCTCTACAACACTCAAACGAGGGGTTTCGTGAGAGAGTTCTTGCTAGCTTTCGTTTCTATTGTTTTACAGAGCAAAAAAATGAAGCGTTACCCCCCCCACACACACGGGTTTCATATCATTTTTTATTTTGTAATGTTTTTATTAGTGCTGAGCGGTGGATATATTTCAAACTAACCAAGTTGAATTGATCCGCTGCATTTTGATCGGATGTATGATAATTGAATTGATCTGTTATATTTTGGATAAATGTGTGATGACGAGCGGACGATTGCAGATTGATTTTTTTCAATCTGCCTAGTTTTGGTCGGATGACAGATTTGAGATTCCTTTGGCCGCAACCGAACTGCCAAACTGCAAGCACCCCTAATAATTTGTAAGACTTTGTGTTTTCAATTTGTTTAGATATACTGTTTGTGTTTTCAATTGAAAAAGAATTTAAATATTCTGTTAAATATATTTTGTTGAAAAAGAGTTTTCAACTTGAATATGATTTTTGAATTGAGAAAAAAAATAAATGTATTATTTATCTATGTTAGGTTTTATTCTTGGCAATCCCGTTTGACAAAACTCCTTTCAGTTGTATTTGTTTTCGCACCTTTTATTTCAGTGAGGCTATGAGTTTATTAGATGCGAATCCAACCCGAATCGTGCCTTTGTCAATTTCCATGGATCAAAACCGAGGTTATAATAGGATCTAGTTTTCTAGATTTTCCAAATTTGGTCATCCCGCTCGAGCGGGGATTGCAAGTTCACAGCATCTCTGCTTCGCCTGAAAAAGTACTGGATGGTGTGATTCAACGCTCGAGCGTGGAAACTTCCACTCGAGCGTGAAGCCTATATGAATCACAAAATTTTGAAGTCTCCGCTCGAGCGGGAATTCGCACGCTCGAGCGGACCGCGCGAACACAGATTCTTGGATTTCTATAAGGAATTGGTTTTCTTCCAAAACTAGGATTACTTTGGATTTCTATAAGTAGTTGGTTTTCTCCTCAAACTTGGATAACTCCTCCAAATTTTCTTTTTGGGTTCTAAGGTTTATATGTGGGGATATTTTGCTAGTTTTCTTTGATGTTTTGATTGAGTATTCAACTCATGGTTTAAAGAGTATACATCAAAGGATTATTTGTTTGTTCTATACAAAAGAGAAATTTGTTCTTCGGTAGATTATGAAGAATTCGAGTCTAAAGCTTTGGTGGATTCCGGAGTGACTTATCGTCAAGACAATTCCGAGGTGAAGACGAGGTTGGAAGAGGCACATAGAGGTTGGTTTAATTCGGGCGTGGATTCGCTAAGTAATTGAGGGTATACCTGTGTAATTCCTTTTTTATCTTCTTAGTGGATTGTTTTGTGGTTGTTGCTCGTGGTTTTTTATCACAACTGGAGGTGTCCAATTGTGATTTTTTCCACGTAAAATCGTTGTGTCGATTTGTCTTGATTGTTTGATTGGGATTGTTACATATTGCTTAAAATTGATACATAATCACAAATCAATATCTAGCGGGTTTCTAGTTTTTTCAATTGGTATCAGAGCGGGTCATTCTATTTTTTTTAAAAAAATTATATATCTTTAAGAACGAGATCTTGTTTGATTTGTGATAATGGATTCAATTCGTGAGGGAAATTCTATGGTTCGACCACCCCTACTTGATGGATCCAATTATTCTTTTTGGAAAGCTCAGATGAGATCGTTTTTGAAATCTATAGATGAAAAAGTTTGGCAATCTGTTATGAATGGGTGAATCGAACCAACAATTACCATTGATGGAGTAACTTTCCCCAAACCAATTGAAAAGTGGGACACAATTGATTACCAAAATAGTAGCTGGAATAGTAAAGCTATCAATTATCTCTTTTGCACTGTCACACCTGAAGAGTTTAGTCGTATTTGCAATTGTGAAGTCGCAAAAGAGGCTTGGGATATCTTACAAACTATTCATGAGGGCACTCCTTCTGTTAAACGCTCAAAACTTCAAAGGCTCACGTCTAGTTTCGAAAACCTTTCAATGAAAGATAGTGAGACCTTTGATGAATTTTATGCGAAGTTGAGTGACATAGTAAATTCTAGCTTCAATTTAGGTGAAAAAATACCAGAATCCAAAGTTGTGGGAAAAATTTTCAAATCCTTGCCCGATCGGTTCCAACCAAAAGTTGCGGTTATTGAGGAGGCTCAAGATGTTGACAACCTCAAGCTAGATCAGTTGGTTGGAAATCTCTAAACTTATGAGGCGCATAGGAATTTCAAAAAGTAACAAAAAGATATTGCTTTTAATAGTGCTCATGGAGTTGGAGAGGATTCTGATGAAGATTGTGAGATAGATTCCAAGATTACGGCTGCTTTTGTTAAACAATTTAAAAAATCTTTTTTGAAAAAGAATCCTAAACTTTTGGAATCTACTCATACTCATAAATTGAAAGGCAAAGATAAACTCAAAATAATTCTATAGCCAAGAAGGAGAAAGGAAAGATACAAGGGAACTCTGAAAGAGTCCAATGCTATGAATGCCAAGGATATGGGCACTTTGCTTCAGAATGCCCCACTCGTTTGAGGAAGAAGAAAGCCCTCGCCATCACTTGGGATGATGAATCAGAATCTGATGAAGATGAAAGTGACAATGAAGATCAAGGCGAAGAGGGACATAAACAATTCCTTACTTTCATGGCGGCTTCCGAAACTGAAGGACGAACAGAGTATCTGAAGAGCCCGGTTAAGAATGCCACTAATGATGAATCCTCGGGCAGTGATGATGAAGAGCTTGAGCAAGCTTATGAAAAGTTGTATAAGGAATCTCTTAAGTTATCCAAATTGAATGACAAACTCACTATGAAACTCACAGCATGTGAAAGTGAGAATGTCAAACTAAAGGAGGAGATTTCCGAGGCTAGGATTGATGCTATCAAGATAGCTAATGATCGACAAGCTCTTTGTGCAAAACTCTTGACTTGTAAGATAGAAAGGAATGAGCTACAGCAAATCTATGCAACATATAAAGAAAAAATTGAAACTCTCGAGATGTCTCAAGTTGCTTTGGAAGAACTAATGAGCAAGAAAGAGGAAGAACTCAAGTGTGCTATGGCTACCATTGGTCTTTGGAACAGGGGATCAAGGACTTTGGACAATATCATTGGTTCTCAACAAATTTGTTCTGACAAGAGTGGTATTGGCTTTGGTGGTAAGAAAGAGCAAAAACAGAGTGCATCCACATCTCATGATACAAGAACTCAAGGAAAGGGGGAGCACAAGGTTCAACGAAAGGATGGACTTCTCAAACTTCCTAGAGTTGGTAAGGTAAAAGAAAAGAAGGTACACCCTGTTTTTATTTGTCATCATTGTGGTATGCATGGTCATATTCGCCCTTATTATTATAAGTTGCATGGGAGAGTGTATTTGCCTAGACCTAGAAATAAGAAGTTGGAAACCATGTCGAGACAGGTCCCCATTGCAGGGGAAAGGAACCACAACGTCAAGACACCACCCAAGAACTGCAATTCTCACAACTTTGTTCGTACTAAAGCAGTTTGGGTGAGAAAACTTGACTTGTGTTAATTTGTTTTTGTCATTGCATGTGTGCTCGTTCATTTTTTTTTTTGTCTTGCTTTAGTTAGAAAAAAAAAATTTAAAAAAAAAAAAAATGGTTTTGCAAGCTTGAAATTTTTGAGTGGTCCTTGGTGCATATTGGAATTGATGAGAATATCCATTACATGTTAATATATGTGTACTTTCTGTGGTCATTACTCATTTTGGAGTGTGTGTTTTTTGATTAGTATGTCTCATTCTGTACACACTCTTGGATTAGCAAATATCAGAGTCTTCCACCTTAGTGATTATTTTTTTCTATGGACTTCTGTCATTGATTTTTTGCGTTTCTAGAGGAAATGACCTATACTAGCATATCATGGGTGATATTGAGTCTCTTAACCACCTTCCATCTTTTTGCACCTCCACGGCTTTCCCCTCTATTCTTTGTAGTCCAGCCATGAGGAAAAGGCTACCTCAGAGTTACTAACCAGGCCATCCTTATTATATCCATGCTTCTCTGGTTCGGTTTCCATACTCTTGAGCGTGTCAGCCGCCAATGAGTGTGCAAAAGAAAAGAAAAAAAAAAAAAAACTGTGCACAAGAAAGAAAAGAAAAAAAAAATGTGCAAAAGAAAGACAAGAAAAAGTGTGTGAAAAAAAAAAAGAAAAAGATTCATTGATTGAGGGAGAGCCTCCGCCTTTACTCACCAAATACTCCTTGATTCCTAGTGGTTTGACTTTCCATAGTTATGCTTAGATTCTCTTGTCAGAGGTCTAACTTTCAGATCACTACTAGGATTGAATCTAGTGTTTGTCGAACTCCAAGAGTCACACACACTTTTTCTCATGGGATCTATGCTTTTCACATAATGCATCACTTTCTTTCATGAGGAATCTTCTACAGATTGTCCACATTGTGTTTACTAGTAATTGTGCTTCTAGGATAATCTTGTGTGTTTTAAGGTACAAATCTGAAATTCCTTGCTTGTTCCACCATATTATTTTTTGTCTTTTTCTTCTTGTTCACTGTTGTGTTTGTGGTTGCTTTTAGTGAGGGGGAGTTTGGTTCATCTTGATTTGGGTTGGTAAGGGAGTTTGGTTTTTCATTGCAAGAGTTGTTTAACATGAACACTTTGATATGTTTGGTAAAGGAGATTGGCTTTAATTGTTTTGCAAGTTGCTATGCACTGTTTGCTAATTATTTTCTTCTTACATGCTCCTGATATTTACATCATCATATCATTGCTTGAGTTGGTTTATGATCTTCTTTTTGTTGTTTGAGAGTTGTTTTTCATGAGGCTTAGTTTTCATCTATTCATGTTTTCCATCTCATGTTTCAAGATAATCGTGTCATATGTCTATTGCTTTTTCATATACTCTTGTGGGACTAATAGTTGTTTTGGAGATTGTGGCACTAATAACTGTTTTGCAGATCATGACCTTGAGAAAGAAGTTGGCTTTTGTTGGCTGTTATGGGTTGGGGTGTTTAGGATTTTATTTGTTAGGTGTGTTTTGTCACGGCATCGCCAAAGGGGGAGATTGTTA